ACAGCACACCCACTACCAGACTCCTCATTCATATCTCAAAACCATCCCTGCTAAGCAGAACATCCACTCTTCCTTGCTCAGTCGATCTTTTATTTCCTATACACTACTATGAACAATGCACTCAGGAGCTGAGGCTGTTATGCAGTGGAGTTTCTGAGAAGTATTAACATATTTCCTGTCAACAACTACATGATCCCAAGAAGTGGGAAGTTGCCCATGCAAAGCTGGAGAGCAGTATCTTTCTGTCCCTTACCCAGCTGCACCCCTCTCAGAATCACAGAATTAAGTACATGTACCCTGGGGAAGTGGTTGGTGAGGGGAAGAAGGAAGGCACTGGTGAGTTGCTAATACTTTCTATTCCAATTGGTAAACTGGCATTTGTGGATTCCCAGCCCCAATGAAAGGATGAATAATCTAATGAAAACAACCAAAAGTATCACTTTTTAAATTAAAAAACTTTGAGACTACAACTATTTGGTTCTACAAGTAGCAATTAAAAATATAGAAAAGTACTGGAATTTGAGTAAATTAACACTTTACATTTAAAAAGGGAAGAAAGGAAGTACCTTACAACATACTGAAAGTGTCTGTCTATGGCTCCATATTCTTCCTCTATGCTTTGGCCATGTCTCAAGCCAGTTTCATATCAGAACAGATCAAACAAAACCACCCAGGAGTTACAATAAGCCCTATCTTTGTTCATGGTATCAATCATTCCCAAGTATCAAACATATCATTATAAAATGAAGGCTCGATAATTGTGAGAATCAACTCTCTGATTTGCTTCCAGCAATTCAGGAATTTCTTGGCTCAAAAGTTCTGGCTTGGCTTGAGTGGTGTTTTGTATGTCCAGAACAATGTAAAAGGCTTCAAGAAAATACTGTTAGCACTGAAATGTGGTTGGTGGAGAATATATGCACACCTTTGCTGTAACAGAGAACACTAGCAAGCCTTGTCTTCAGATATGTGCACGCAACTCTTGCTGCTCAGACTTGTGAAACTACAGTAAATATTTGCACAAAAAAAATTCTGACATACAGGACAGAACACTGCCATATTGTTAGCATCTATGGGACAAGAAGTGTCTAGTTAGACTGAGTAAATACAATGACAATTACCCACAACTTGGACCTTATTTCCCACTCTGAGAAATATCTCCATGGGATATAAGCAGTAAAAAATAGCCATGTCTTATCAGCCACCCCTGAATATAGAGTGCACGTTGTGCATGGTCCTGATCTTTATCCAAACACGCATCTTCTGTTTGTTAGATATTCAGTCAATGTCTTTGTGAATAGTGACGTCTAACAGAACCATGTTCTTGAAAATTCCCCTGAAAATCAAGCTGGATGTGGTCAGGCTTAGGTTAGGGAAAAAATGTCCCCTCATGTATATGCTTTAGAAACTTTAGTTGTTCTTAGCTCTATGAAATGGTTGCTTGCACTGCCATGCACACAGGGGCTGTGACACTTTCAGAACTAATGGTCCTGGTAAGTGATGTTGACAGCAAATAACCTTTATCTTGTGCTGATAGGAGGCATAAATATATATATATATTTCAGCCATACCTTTAAAGAGGAAATAACGGGTTATCACAGATCACCATGATTCTAAAACTTAGATTTTTTGTTTAGTGCTTGACTTTGTAAGCTTAATACTGTTCTTCTGTTAGTTTCTGTCTTTTGTACAGCATACACAGGCATGCAAAACCCATTTACTTCTAAATTGGGCTGTGAGAGTTTTTTCACCTTATCTATGGGGAAAGAAACATCACTGAGAAGTCTTGCATCAGGAAAATAATATTATTTGCTTCTCTCTAACTTTTCTACCTTTGTTGCTTTCTTTAGGTTGCAACAATGATAAAGGAGGATATTGTAAATGACAATGAAGATTCTGAGCCATCAGTATGTGAGAGAAGTGGCATGATTCCCATGCATGAGAAAAATGAGGTAATTAATTAGGATCTCAAAGTATGTTTTTAGTCAGAGGAACCCTCCTTTTCCTTTCCTTTTTCCTCCTACATCTGTTAAAATCCCTACATCTGAAGGAAATACAAAGAGAAATCTCCTCAGTGGAAATTTCTTACTATTAACAGATGTTCAGTTTTAAAAGTCTGTGGTATGTTGTATTGCTGGAGATCAGCAGTTGCAATTTCAGCTTGAAGTGGAAGATTGCATCAGCATCAGTTTTACAATCAGCTATGGAAGACAATTAAATGGACTTAACATTGCTTCTAAGTCCAACAGCTTGGGTGGGGTCTGTCCGACTTAAGTCATCCCTCATTCTTATAACCGAATTTCACAAAACAAGTGACTGCTACAGTACACTTGGGCTGTTGGCAAAGTTGCATAGGTGGCTGCGGTGCACGGGTGCACCAGTGCACAGGCTGCTGTCACACCTCAATGTGTACAGAATTGTAGTTACGTTCTAAATTGTATGCAACCTTAAGAGCAAATATAATAAACTTTCCTTCTCTCTCTGAGACAGAACCAGGCCTGTTCCTTTGGCCGTGGTTTCGCTAGATAGTAGGTGGGGCACAACATCTTTCTATAGGCTCGTTACATGACGCATTTATCTACCAAATTGACAATCTGACCAATTTTGATGCAGGTAGATGGGCCACCTTTACTTAAACTGGAAAAGGAACACGTATAATCTATATGTGTTTGATAAATAAAAGGCACTTTAGAGAAAACATATAATATTGACTATAAAGATAAGTACTGTATGGCATATCTTTATACATATGGGTAGCTGGTGATCACAGAATCACAGGATAGATAACCAAGTAACTCCATGCTGAAAGCTCACAAGATTTGTGTTCCAACTGTGACTCTGAGTAAAGGATATATTTCTCTCTCTATATATATATATATAAAAAGAGATGAGACAGAAAAATAACAGGAAATGTGGAACTATTACTGGAGGAGGGCCAAACCACAGTAGAGGCAAGAATTCCATGTCCATGCTATGACAATGAGCTGACATGAAGGTGAATAACCATAAGGGAAGGCAGATGATTAACTCGTCAAAAATAAGGACCCTAAAATGAAGTGAGACACATATCCAAAAATGGTCAAAAAGTGTTTTGGCTATGAATATGGATAAGTAGATGAATCAGTATCAGTATAAGAGAACAGCTTCAAGGAACCATTCTTCAAGGAAATAACTCCCAGGATAGTATTTCTTCATCTCTACCTTGACTTACCAGCTTGAGCAATGGATCATGTGAGTAATGTTTGCACTAGCCAGCTGTTCTGTTTCTTTCATCTTGGACTAATCACAAGTAGGTTTCATTTCTTTTGGTTCAAGGGTTGCAACAGAAGTTATTTAGGAGTTACATTATTCTCACTGGAATTATGCTATTCATTAACTGTATTGTGGAGTCCAGTCTGGAAGCAGAACCCTATCCAACTGCAGAAAATATTGTTAAATATTTAGCTTGTATACAAGACAAGCTGAACCCGGCCTTTTAATATTGTGTCTTCATCAAATATGCTGATGCTGATGTTGTTGCTGAACAGGTGCTGTTTGTGTTGGGACAGGAGTCCTGTCAGCTGCAGATAAGGCGAATGTCCCACATACGCAGCTCGCTGTAGCATGCATAAACATGCATAACCAAAAATCCCAGATATACTACAAAGCCAGACCATTCCTACAGTAACTGTTTAGTTAATGCAGTCATCTGTAGACAATGTGGATCTAGTGTATCACAGATGATTTCAGGTCTTGTACACTACTTCACATGTATACAATGCCACTTCTGAGAGAGTCTCATTTTCATTCAGGAGGGACCAACAGTAGATGCCAAAGCTACTGATGGGAATATACAAACAGAAGAAACTGCTCTCTTGAATCATTGTGCTCAGCAACCTCCGGAACCGACAGCAGGGTCTTCAATACCTGCAAGAACATTGAGGCAAATATTTACTTGTCCTCCTCAAGGTTTACTGGCCCGAACAGTGACAAATGGTATGTACGAAAGACAGAGTTTAAGTAAACTGAGAAATGGCAAATGAAGTACTCATTTCTCTGGACGTGATAATATCTGTCCATTGTCCTCGAAAATAATGATGGGCAATAGCTATGTTTTACACATCATGCTTTTGTTTCAATGTTTTAGGAGAAAACAAGATGAGGTGAAAAAAAGATTTGAACACATAGTTTCTGGTCCTCCATCCTGTTTTCTGTGTTTAACATGGTAGATATGTTTTTGTATTGCAACTTGTTTTCCTCAGAAGAAAGACGTCCTAGTTCTTGATAGTTTGTTTTGCTGTGAGAACATTAAGATGATTATAAACACAGTGGCATTTTTGGCACAGAAGAGAACCTCTGGCAAACCAACTATTTCAAACTTTTCCTAACAAAAGACACTTCCCGTGGCTTTGACTGCTTCTGCAGCCTCTGTTTTCTCTCACTTAGCATTCTTGGGCTTTTATGTTTGGAAATCTACTAGTCTTCTCTCAAATATGATTAAGAAAAATCCAATCTGAAAATGCAATACATTTTCTTATGATTATGAGAAGGGGGATTTATTCAACACATTTTTTTTCCTCTCCTTCAGTCTGGAGCTTTTATATCTATGTATGCCTGTTCTTGTTGGATAACCGTAGGGACAGATGCAGGAACCTGGAAAGAGCATGTTTTCACATATTTTTACAATATTTTCACATATTTTATAATATTTTAATTTAATGTTGTCATAATATTTTTCAGGATTTTTTTTTTCCTGTGTATTATCCTTCTTTGATTAATGTATCAAGGGAAGTATCTGTACCACTTCAGGCTGTCCAGAGACAAGACCTCCTTCAGATTTTTTATTCCCAGGGATAGCAATGTATTGCACAAGCACATCCAGCCAAAAAGAGATACTTAAATTCTTTTAAAAGTCTGGAGCTACAGTCATTAGCTCAAACATACGCTGGGCTGTACAGAGCGGGTTCTTCTTGCAGTTCTGAAGTAGCTGAAGGAGGATAAACAAATGCAAGATAAGCTAGTGAAAGTCTTTGCTTTAAGTTTGGGACCTGCTAAGTGCTTTCCACAGTGGGCCAAGGCTCACTCGGTACTTTTTGGTCCCTGATGATGTTGCTGGTACAATTTTTTAAAGTATCTTAGCATCTATAAAACCAGAACATCAGTTTAGGGAGCATCAAAGATTAAACACATTTTTATGATTAAACCGATTTTTAAGGTAAGTGATTTTATTTCTGAAAGTCATGGTACCTTTTCCTTTGTAGAAAAACAACTGGGATCTAATAGCAAACAAATTTGTCCCTGAGAGATAGCTAACTATGAATATTTCTTGTTTTGCTCCAGTTGCAATTGTGGTCCTGGTTTGGGCTGTGGTTTGGTCCATCACTGGGACTGAGTGCCTTCCAGGTGGAAACCTGTTTGGAATTCTGTTTCTTTATTTTTTTGCTGTCATTGGAGGTAAAATTTTTGGATTCATTAAAATACGAACACTACCGCCTCTCCCTGCTCTTCTGGGTAAGAGATCTTTCCTTCTTCCTGCATATTTGCATTGTTTAAAGCATTGAGTAATATCTGCATAGTAGATATGTTTGGATTGGGGAAAAAAACCCCAATGTGTCATGCTCACAATCTGTAGCTTTTCCAAATGACATTTATCTGGTCCTCTCCACGAAGGTTCAAAATTCCCCAAATGGGCTCAAGTGAAACTGCCTGTATGTTACTGAGGCTCTCTTAATTCTTTGGGGGCCAGAGAACTGTATACGTATACATTCAAAGGTTATTGTCCTTCAGTCTCTTCTGTCACAGTTATTTAAAATTTGGTTTTAGTATCACTAAACAGGACTCTTAATCTGGATCTTCTGTTATAGTAGAATAATTAATTCATAAGGAAATTATTGCTGAGCTGTTTTGCATGTGTCTTCTATAAGGAAAATGTTTTCCAAAGAAAACACTACAGAAATTCCCTACTACAGGTAATCCAAAGCAACTTCTTTCTTCTCCTTCCTTTATCTCAAGATAACTGAAGCCTGAGAAAAAAAAATCACCAGCAGGA